CTTACCGGGGGAAGCCTTCACCTTCCCAGGGAATTCTGAATCGAGACCTAGACTGATCGAGGAGTTTAGGAGGCTGATTACAAATGTGGAAATCAAAACTGCTACGCGAACCTACCAAGGAATCATACGCGGTCAAATTCGATTGTGAACGCTACCTTGGTGCGGTATTTGATAACAGCCTCCTTTCAAAGGATACCGGTTGCCCTGATTATTAATATGGAAACTTTGACACTGATGCCATCTGGTACCAAATTGGAAGGCCGTCATACAATGCAAAAATTTTATCATCGCGGAATCGAACCTTGGACCGATTTGATCGCTCACAACTTCCCTGGCAGGTTTACGTAGCAGTTTTGACTTCGTATTTGTAACCAGCGTTCCAAGCTCTATCGATCGCCTAGGATCTCAATTCAAAGTTCCATGGAAAGTTGAAGGCCTTCCTGATAAGATGTTGGCTCACCTTGGTGCCCACTGGGTGGTTTTCGGTACGCTACCGGAGAACCGCTTTCGCTTTTGTCGGTAAACAAAATGATTTCAAACACTTGAAGCAAGAGAATAGTATTAGATGTACCTGTGACAGCTGCAGTCGTTGGGACACAACGATCAGGGCTAGTATAGCATGTAGGATTCTTCTTTACTGCGAACACAGCGTAGACTGCTAGTAGTAGCAAAAACGGAATTAAATATTTCATTTTGCGCAACGCAATCGTTCAACAACAACAGCAACAATTTATAGACTGCTCTTATCAGCGGCCACGCCTCCAAGGCAACGATTCATCAACATCGCCTCATCGTACATATTTTCATCGCAGCTCACGGCAGAGGAAGCTCAATGTACACTTATCGATTGATGATTGGATATCAGAAAGGTGGGATGAAGCCGTGGCCTATTCCTCCCACTCTCCTTTTAACCGATGCCTCAAATTCAATCCAATAAGAGCGGCCAGAGCCGCCACCTGAAAAAAAAACAAAATTCGAGTTGTTTGTTGAGAAATGAAGAACTGATCCATACCTGTTCAGCCATTCGTATGTTTGGTTGTCCCTTACGGGATCGAAATTTCTTCCCGAAAACTTCGACACTTCCTTCAAACCGTTTGTCTTCGATACGTTGATGCTATAAATAGCAAAAACGAAACTTACAAGCAATAGAAAGAAAGTAAGCAGTCAACTGTCACGTTGGCCAGTTTCCGACTCACGACCCCAGCCCTAGAGAGGTCATCCACACCCCTCTCCCAAGGGTCGACGATGTCCATATGAGCATGTCATCACTGACCCACTCCTACTGCCAAGAGCCCTCCCAAAACTACCGCTGACGGGAATGAGTATCGCCGCACCGTCCCCTCCCTCGTATAACGACACCTCTATTAGTTACGACTGCCGCTCTCCACACAACAAACCAAATGAGAACCGCCTTCCTGCTGCTGCACAAATTTCTCAACGGACTATTTACCCTAGCTCCACCTTCGCTTCAAGCAAATCTTCAGACGACAAGGACCCAACCAACTCACCGATGCATATACAGGTCTACCAGCATTCATTTCTTTGCAATAATTGAATAATACGCATTTGGGCGTTTCGCTGGAATTCTGAGCGTCTTTCAACTTTTTCCTATAAAATGTTGTTTTTTACTCAACAAGAAGAAAACAAAATTAAAAAGAGAACAGTGTTCAAGAGTGGTTACTTTAACTTTAAAGCAACAGTTCAGGAACGGTTTCGCGGGAAAAAACCACCAATAATGAAGTTGTAGATGAAAACCAGACGATTAATGTATGAAAAACTGGAAAAAAACGTCGGGGAGGGTCTTAGACAGGTACTCTCCCTCTGCCGCTCAGCAATGGATAAAGACGCACGTTGGACGAGTTGTCTGAACGTGCCCGCTGTAAACGCGCTCCATTTTTCAATCAATTTTCCCTGTGGTCCCAAAACGAGCACGATTGCCGACGCGTCCAATGACGGCCGGCAAGGGGGCGGGATTGGGGAAATCCCCAAGAACACCCATGTTTGAGGGACTTTCCACCCTGTTTTTGAGTTTCTGAGGTAAGTTCGTTTATTATTTCCACTGCATATGTTCTTCACTAGGGCTCGTGTATCCCTCAGTAGTAGTGGCATTGAAATTTTCGGACCCTCCCTGAACTGTTGCTTTTAAGGATGAGGGGCTGGTGTGCGCCAGACCTTATGACCGAAAAACTATTTCACAAACCCCCTAGGCACCACACGAGATCAAAATGGCAGACAACAAGTTTATACGTTTGAAAATACAATCGTGTAGAATTTACAACCACTGTGACACATCATGGAATCAAACTTTGTTGGGCCGTCGAACTTCGTGATGCATTACGGTGCCACACCTCGAACTCTAATTGATGCGGTTGTTCTACTTGAAAATGGAAATTAATTAAAAATGAAGAATCAATTAAAAGATTATCATATCATATCATCAGATTATTAGATTTATCAATTAATGAAGAATCATTAAATTAAATTAAGATAAATTAAGAATCAATTAAAATGAAGACCCTCTCTTTACCAGGTGGTTGTAAATTCTACAGGATTGTACGAGACAGACAGAAATTAGCTTTTTTCTAGTTTGTGATATAATCATTTCCGACATTTCAGGTGTTCTAGATTTCGGTCTACTAGAAAAAAAATGGAAGGTACATAATAGCCTTCACTTACAAAGGGAACGTCACGTCGTAATATTCGTAGTCCGCTATTTCGTCGACCAATCGGCGTTTTTCGCACTGTTTCGCGCTCTCTCCTTCCGGACATCTACCGTAGAAGGGTTTGGCCGGGCGTCTCGTGGCCCGTGTTGCGGGCCTGGCACATGTTCACCGACGTTCAAGAGCGAGAAAATAAATCCCAACGTGCCCTGTATCACGCTAGCAAAGCCTTCTCTGTCCTCAACGCACCTGATCTTCCAGAACACGTTGCGTCCTCTAGGATCGCGATCCTACTAAAAAATTCACCAACGTCGTGACTTATGGCACACCAATGAGGTCGTTCTCTCATGGGGAGTCTTTTATTCAAAATGGAAATCAGGTCCTGTTGATCAGAGTGGAAATCAGGTTTCCTGTTGACAGAGAAGGCTTTGCACGGAAAGCAGCTGGTTCCTCCTCTTAACCCTTTGACGACCGTGTGGCCCGCCGGTGGGCCACACTTCCACTCGGAGGCGACTCGTTTTTCGTGGTTTATTTGGCATTTTTTATGTTCTCAAAACTGCCCATATACATTATGGAATCCGCGAAATAATGTGCTCATTACTAATAATGAAATTGTTGGAGAGTTAATGATTATTGATGAAAAAATTTAAAAAGAAATGAAGTGACGCATTCATAACGGCGGTCGTCAAAGGGTTAAAAAGCAATTTTTTTCTTGAATGACAAAAATACTCACTTGATTACTCCCAAGTATCCGTTGCACTACATATTTGGTCATTGTGTAGTTTTCGTCGTATTCACATGCCTGCAAACTTTTTGGTAACGAAGGACAAAACAAGCTCAACGTAAAAGACTCAACATTGGTTGACATCCCAATCGCCGTGTGGACAATGTCGACTAATGTTGGGTCACACCCAGGGCTTTGAAAGGCGTAGAATTTCGCAAATTTTCAGTAATACTAGCATGGTGTTTAGGAAGGCATCGCGATATACATGGTGGTCGTGGTCACAGCAATTTTCCACAGTATTTCACCAAAAGGTGCTTAACCCATAACGGACGGATTATTTCTTTTGTTTTTGTTACTTTTTTAACAATCTGAATATACAGTTAGCTGATCGTCGATAGGGACGTCAACAGCATCACATGTGAATTTCTTTAAAAAAAAGTAAGCTGCTCAGTATGCAGGTTCCCTGGAAGGAGTAGAGGGGCATCGGCGACGATGGAATCTAGTTGACGATGCTTACGAAAAGAGTCACTAATCAACCGCTTACCAAGTCTAAGATCACAGAATATTACCTTTTTTCCATTCTATTCGATAAAAGTTTGGCAGTTTGAATGAGATGGTTTTATTTTGAAAAAAAAATCTGTCCTGTCTGTCACTACTGTTCTAGCGACACTCAGAAGGGGAGCTCGCTGTAACGAAAAGTGTCATCATTCGACCGCTTACCAAGTCTAGGAAGTTTTTGACATCTTCATCGAAGGGGAGCACTCCTTCACGTCGAAATACAGATGGACACGAAAGTGCTTTTCGGGCAATCATCACAGAGGAGGCTTCTGTTTCTTCTCGGAACTTCAGGATGTCCTCATAACATGCGATACTGCCAGAACCGCCACTGAAGGCATTAAATTACGAATAAAGAAAGCACAAAAGGAAGTAGTCAATTCTACGAATATGAGACAATTGAGCTC